TGTGTAACAGTATATTGGTTCACAGCAGTTTAATGTTCTTGTTGTTTTCTCTGTTCATGAACGTTAATCAAACAACAAAACACAAAGAAAAATCACTTTTGTAGCTTTAACACAGATTTGTTAGATTTAATTTATAGTGAAATCTATGCAGTGTTATTTTACATTTGATTATTCAATTTCTGTACCTGAATACTGTTAGACTTACCTGAAAAATATAAAGCACTGCTTATTTCATTTGTATCTTTGTTCTGTTATTCATCTATGCTTGTAATTTGTTTATTTCCTATGCTGATTTACTCGCCTACAAAATCAACCCAATCATTGATTTTTTTTTTTTTTCAAATATAGAGCTATTGAAGTAATCTAATTTTTTTTCCATATCAATATATATTGCAGAAAAAATAATAACGCAATGTGAGTTTTTTCCAATATCGTGCATCCCTATTACAGACAATGCTTTCTAAAGAAGATCAAAAGATAAACTTTGAGATGTGGCTATCTGATTGTTTGTATCTTGTTGTGCACAGGCTCTATGCTCTTTATCTATTGGAAGGAGGATATGTGGTGTAGGGTAACAGTGACTGAGCTCTTTCAGAAAGAGTGTTTCCAGAGTGTGACCAAATGCCGTGCATCAGATGTCTCCCGTCTGTGTGTCTACTTCCAGGACTTTGGCTTCTCCAAGGGCGTTTCAATTCCAAGGTGAATGAAGTGTATTCATATGTAAACAATTAAAGACAGAGATGCTCCCTTTATTTCTTAATTGTGTGCATAATTTTTTGCATGCTCATGTATCTCAAGTAAATCTGCTCTTTTCATCTGACTGCAAATTCACTCATTCACTGTATGCATGTTTTCTCTTCGTGCATCTCCAGTGATGGAAATTTAAGCGTGTTGAATGAGTGTCTGCGGAGACCTGATGCTGCTACTCTGGCTGAAATGAATGGCTGGGCTCCTCTGGCCATCAAATGCTCCCTTAAAGATATTATTCCTGCAGACTTGGTATAAGTTGTGGAGATGTATTTACTCTGTATTTACTGTATTAGTGTTGCAGCTGAGTGCACCAAAATACATGTTAAAGGGTTAGTTCACCCAAAAATGAAAATTAGCCCATAAATTACTCGTCCTCAAGTCATCTTAGGTATATATGACTTTCTTCTTTCAGACGAATCCAGTCGGAGTTATATTAAAAATTGTCTTTGATCTTTCAAGCTGTTTAATGCCACTCAGCGGGTGTTGCATGCATCAGTCCAAAAGAAGTTAAATAAAAAGCGCCCATCCATAAAAAAAAAGTGTCTCACATGGCTCCGGGGGGTGAACAAAGGCCTTCTGTAGCGAATCGATGCATTTTTGTAAGAAAAATATCCATATTCAACACGTTAATCACTTTAATGTAGCTTGCGCCAACAGTTGCACACGGAAGCAGCTCCGGGCGGATGGCGTATAAGGTCAGCTTTGCGCATGCGCCGGTGAGTCTCGTGAAAACCAACGTTTGTTTTTAAAAGTTTTGCATTTATTCAAAAGAATTATTCAGGCATTTAGCTGCCATCTAGTGTGTAAAAAGAATTTGTGTTTCTGATCTAGTTTTGTATTTATAGATGTTATTAGAGAATATGAAGAATTTTTGCATCTCTTGTGACTAGGCACAATCAATAACTGGCAAGACATGTGTTTGTGTTTTTTATCAGCTGAGAGGGTGGAGTTTAGAGGCAGCTGACGAGATGAGGAGCCTGCTGGGATCTGAGGCTGTGGAGATGCAGGTGTTCGGTGAGGACGGAGACACACTGTTAGTGGATCTGAAGAAAACGCCAATGGTGTCTCTGCGGGAGCACCTGGTGTTCATGGAGCTGGCCAGGTATGTAATTGTCCCATCTGGGGCTCCCAGTTCCATCCTTACAGCATTTTTTAATCTTCATCTGTAGGGGTGCTCCGATCAGGATTTTTGAGACCGATCACAGAAAGCAGTATCTGCAGATACGATCACCGATACCGATCTGTTTTTTATAGCCTTATTTTTATCATGTAGAATTATTTATAGTAATACTCCAATCAGGATTTTTAGACATTTATTCAGGGCCTGAATTTCATTTTTGAAAATGGGAATTTCCCTCTTATAGGTGACTCTTGTGAGAGGGGATTTTTCTTTTAATTTGAGGAGTGGAGGGGAGCATTTTGTTAAATTTTTCAAAAATATATATTTTATCTCACCTAAATGTTCGATCATGAAGTGCATTTTTGTTTTTACACTCGTGCAGTCGTTGCACAATAGCTTACACACAGCACAACACAGTTGCTCAAGCAAGTGGCAAAATATTTAAACTACTTTTGTTACGTTATCACAAAAATTCTAAATTAAAACTTACCACTGACAGAAACAGACAGCTCTACTGCCTTTTCTTTTGCATTTAAATCTTTATTACAAGCAATCCTGCGGTTAATAAAGAACTTTGTTTTCCAACATCCACGAGTGCCATCTATCTTTTCCTTTTTCATCTAAAAGTGCTCTTTTCCTTTAAAACTAGCCAACAAGCCATATGTGTTGACTGTGAAACACAGACTTTAATTATATGCATTTATGGTGTAATTACTACATTTTCATATTTACCGCAAACAATGCGCTGTCACTTTAATTCAGCGCTGCTGCAGACTGCTCATGGAACGCACTGCCGGACCGAAACTGTGCCGTGTGAACGATTTAAAATCCGTTAACATGAGCGTGGAAAAAAATATGCACTGCATACGGAGCATGTGAACCTGGCATTATGTGTGTGCGCAGCGAGAGTGCATGAGCGCTCAGTCTCCAGGAGAGCGCGCAAGTGCTGAATGGTTAAACACTGGCAAGAATTGAAAAGAAATGCAATTCATAAACTTTAGTGACGATGCAACACTGCTTCGATTGTGCAAGTGATAATTCCTATGGCTATGTCAACTGTGCAGTGTGCAGCTCGCTTATAGTGCAGATGTGATTTGAAGCCATGTGCGCATTTTGAGAGGGAAAGAGAGCGAGCGCGTGCAGTGATTCACTCACGCGGTTTGTGAAATTATGTCTCACAGAAAGTTTTCAAATTACTTTAGAAGTTATTTAATGAAGAAATATGAATTGTACCTCACCTTCAGCAGTATAATTATTTTACCCGCGCTGGACAGGGACTGAGACGGTGCTGCATGTCATGCCAAATCTCTCACAGCAGGCGCTTCATCAAGCTTGAGATCGGCCTTTATAGAGACCGCCGATCAAACATCCCAAAGCGATTATCGGCCGATAGTGATCGGTAGCCGATCAATCGGAGCACCCCTATTTCATCTGTTTGGTTCTATCTGGGTTTCTTCTGCTTTTTTCAGTACATTCAACAATTAAACCTATAACTCGAGAGCATTTTGAGACTAAATTGTAGAACATGATTTATAAAATAAGTAGAAATAAATGCTACAATTGGCCTAAAGTATGCTGGATTAAAAGGTTCCATTTGTTCTACTGAGTTCTTTGACGCAAAGAACTTCTAGTATAAATGGCCTAGGAAGGTACAGGTTATATATTAGTTAGGACTGTCAAGAGAAAAATATTTTTAATTTAATTATATGACGTGGTGATTAATCTAATCCCAAATTAATCGTACATCAAATTTGGCTGGGAAATTACCCCCAAAAGCTAAAAAAAGATGGGGAAAAAGAAAGAAAGATACAAAAAGTAGCTTTAGAAATAAATATTTTATTTGATTCAACATAAAATGTATTACACTCACTTTTTTTATATATATACATATAACATTTTTTTGTTTTGTATATATATTTTTGGGGGGCTTTTAGGCCTTTTTTATTAGATGGGACAGTTGAGAGCAGGCAGCAAAGTATTGGGTTGAGAGAGGGGGGGCGGGATCGGCAGAGGACCTAGATACGGAAATCGAACTCGGGTCGCTGTGAGCACAGTTGTGCTATATGTCGGCGCACAAACCACTAGGTTATCGGCACCGACACGCATTCACTTTTAAGATAGAATGGATTAACATAAACTATGGAACATTTGAGATTTTTTATTTATTTTTTTATTTTATTTTTTTACATAGTCAGTGGTGACCAAAAGAGTTACCAACATTGTTCGAAATGTCTTATGTTTCGCAAAAGAAAGTCATAAAGGTTTGAAACGACATGAGTTTGAGTAAACTAAAACTGCCAGTAGAGGACTTTAAATGCCTTAATGAGTAAGTCTTGGAGACATTAGATTTGTTCAGATGGCTGATTCATTCAGGAATGAAGTAAATGGCGCTTTATGAATGGGCCATTGAATCATTGGTTCACCTGATTCGCTCAAAACATGGATTCATTCAGAAGCAAAACACTGCAGACAATGTTGTCTAAAATATAACACAAAATTAACTTATTTATTAAACCGTTATATAAAATGTTACATGTGAAATATTTGGTCTGATTCCCAACAGGCAACCCTTTATAAATATGTCTTGAATGCACTGTAAATATCTTACACTGTATGAATTAATATAAATTAAAGAAGGAAAAAAGCAGAAGTGCCTGAACTTCTCAACAGAAATAAAAAGCAGGGATGTGATTTTTCCTTATAAATACGGATTTCTGTATTTTTCGACCTCTGAGGGACGACCCATGGGATTTGCGTAGATCCGAGGTTTTTTTGGGGGGGTTACTGCATGATAATTGAAATCGCGCAAATGGCCTTAAGCTATTAACTAAATAAACTTCAAAAATTTGTTTTCTAAAACATCATGGACTGAATGGTCCAGAGAGTGCTGCACGAGCTCACGGCGCCATCTGCAGGACAATTAAAAGCGTTCAAATTAGGGCTGGGCGATAATTCGATAACGATAATTATCACTATATAATTTTCCTCGATAAAGTGATATGAAGAGTTCGATAAATATTTGATATAATGTTTATGCGCCAAAAGCGGAACAAAACTCATTTGAATCGCGCCACATGGACCGCTTATCCGCTCGGATCAAAGTTCAAACTGCCGCGAGCTCACTAGAGCAGATGCGTTTACTCGGTCACGCGAGCATTAAGCAGCACTGTGAGATCCAGTTTGAAGCACTTGAATTCAGCGATGAACACAAATGACTCGGTGATTTAAACTAGTTTAAAGCCAAACAAGAGAAACACTGTGTGCAACGAGACGGTCAGAAGGCTTTTCAGTCTACAAATTGCCATTATTTACCATGGATTTACTGTAGTAACACTCACTGTACCATTGTATTGTGGCAGAAATTTGGGATATTCACACTGAATTTTATTAAAGGAATAATGGTAGGCATATACGGTGGTGTGAAAAAGTGTTGGCCCCCTTCCTGATTTCTTATTTTTTTGCATGTTTGTAGCGTCTGCGTAGAATCATGCATGATCTTTGGGTTTTATGGCTTAAGAGACCCTTTTAGCTTTTGACATTTGCATATAAATTACAGTCCTGGTCACAGACTTTACACTTATATGGGTGCTAAATGGCCAATGGTTCCCCAACCATATAAAACTGAGGTTGCTACAATTTTTAGAGCTGTTACTTATTTTGATAATGAACAAATTTACCTCTGCATCCTAACTCAAGCTACTATCAAATATGCATTTCTAAGAGACAAAAAGTGATATAATTATTATTAATATTATCAGGCAACCCAAACCTGTTTCTTGATTTGAAACAATATCACTCATTAGAACATGCAGAAACTAAGAAATTTAATTTTCTATTTAGTTATTTATTTTAAGGAAAATTAATGGTCTGGTTTCTACAACTTTCACTTTGGAGCAAAAATCTGGCTTTAAACTCGAAAGAAATAAAGATTTGACATTTATCGTGATAATTATCGACATCGACTGATATGAAAAAAATGATCGTGATAATTTTTTTGGCCGTATTGCCCAGCGCTAGTTCAAATGATTCAAAGCGCCAAAAGCGAGTAGAATCAGCGCAGAGATGTGTCACTCGACCCGGTGACTTTTTATGAATGGCAGTGAGAATTTTGCTAGTGCTGTCATAATTCACAACGGCTGTGATGTAATTATATAATAGGTTGTAGTCTGACGCGCTACATGTCTGCTGTTACAGTACTGTTTTTAGTTTCGATTCACTGTTAGTGCTAGCTGCGCTTGGTTTGAGCCGCTTTAATTTGCATTTGGGAACGCAACATTCGTCATTAGAAACATTTATAAATCAGTTGTTTACAAAGAGAAGTTTCAGTGTCACATAATCCTTCAGAAATCATTCTAATATGCTGATTTGCTGATCAAGAAACATTTCTCATTCTTATCAATGTTAAAAACAGTTTTGCTGCTTAATATTTTTGTGGAAACGATACCACACAAACATTTGTATAAGATTTAAAAAAAGAGAGAGAAATTAATCATTTTATTCATCATGCATGAAAGTGATAAAAAGTGAGTGAAGACATTTAAAGTGATTTCTATTTAATAAATGCATTAACAAATTTAATTAATATATTTGATAAATGCAAATAAATGCGCTGTTCATTAAACTTTATATTTATCAAAAAATCCTGAAAGATAAAGTGTATCACCATTTCCACACAAAATATGAAGCAGCAAAATTGTTTTCAACATTGATAATAATCAGAAATGTTTCTTGAGTCAAATAAATTGTAATGATTTCTAAAAGATCATGTGACACTGAAAACTGGAGTAATGATGAAGAAAATTCTGCTTTACATCATAGGAATAACATTTAGAGGTCGACCGATTGATCGGCCGGTTTTTGGCATTTTTTAATTAATCGGCATCGGCCGTTTGTGCAGCAAATTAGGCCGATTTATAGGCAGGCGCATCTGCGGGCAGCTAAGTGTTGTTGCGGAACGCCGGAGAATCTCTCTCTGGTTGCGTGCGGAGCAGCTCACACTCTGCAGCCTAGGGATGGGCGATACCCCTTATTTTGTTTTCGATACGATACCGATATTTTTCAAGGCAGTATTGTCGATATCGATACTGATTCGATACTTCTGCACTATATTTTAAAATTATGAAATGTATTAAATTATTAAATTACTAAGAGTAAAATGGGTTATGAAAACCACTTAACTTTGTTTAAAACGCATTTTAACCCGTTTAATCCCCAATTTTTCCCAGACATGAAAATATCCAAATGATGTGTCATTAGTAACCCTTTGAAATAATCAATAATAATTTTAATTTTTTTGGAAAAGTGTGTGAAAATTTTTTTTATGGTCAGTCACAATTGTAACCGGTGGGATAATGTGTATACTGAATTAACATATTTCTGCAGTCTTAAAAATCGTTATATATCTTAGCCCAGCTATTTTAAACTGTTTGATCACATTCTAGGGTTACTATTATGCATAAAAAACCCTTATACAACATTGATTAGTATCGATATTTTTTGTTTGATCTACTTCGGATCGATACGCCCATCCCTACTGCAGCCGCTTCTTGTTCACATACAGCTTCAGCTAATGATGGCAGGGCAAAACAGACCGTTTCGAAAGCTTAATTACGTTTTACCCTACTAGAATTGATGCCGGAACGTTATCATATTCATAAGTGCAAGTCATTTGCATGTGTAAGTAGAAACATATGCAATTCAGACGAAACTTCTGGGCTGATTATAACGTGCACG